CGGGGTCACTGTGGGGTCATTGTGGGATCACCGGGGTCACTGCAGGGTCATTGCGGGGTCACTGCAGGGTCATTGTGGGATCACCGGGGTCATCGTGGGGTAACTGGGGTCACTGTGGGGTCACCACGGGGTCACAGGGGTCACCGAGGTCATTGTGGAGTCACTGCAGGGTGACCAGGGTCATCAGGGTCACCACRGGGTCACTGTGGGGTCACTGCAGGGTCATCGGGGTCACTGGGGTCATTGTGGGGTCACCATTGGGTCATTGGGGTCACCGTGGGGTCACTGCAGTTATTGTGGGGTCACCGAGGTCACTGTGGGGTCATTGTGGGGTCACCACGGGGTCATTGGGGTCACTGTGGGGTCATCAGGGTCACCACATATCACTGCAGGATGACAAGGGTCACCAGGGTCATTGGGGTCACCGTGGGGTCACTGCAGGGTCATCGGGGTCACCACGGGGTCATTGTGGGGTCACTGTGGGGTCACCGCAGGGTCACTGGGGGGTCACTGTGGGGTCACTGGGGTCATTACAGGGTCACTGGGGTCACCAGGGTCCACGCATGGTCACTTTGGGGTCACCAGGGTCACTGCGGTCATTGTGGGGTCACTGCGGGGTCACCGCAACAGCCCCAACAGCCCAACCCATGGAGGGGTGGGGGGGGCGGTTACAGGGATTGGGAGTTGGCGAAAATAAGGGGGCGATCCCATTAATCCACGGGGTGATCCCAGTGGGGTGATCCCACTAATCCCAGTGGGATGATCCTATTAATCCCATGGGGTGATCCTAGGGGGGTGATCCCATTAATCCCATGGGGTGGCCCCATTAAACCCAGCAGGGTGATCCCATTAATCCAGCGGGTGATCCCATTACTCCAGGGGGATGATCCTATTAATCCCAGTACTGTGATCCCATTAATCCCAGCAGGATGATCCCACTAATCCAGTGGGATGGTCCCATTAATCCAGTGGGGTGATCCCAGGGCAGTGATCCCATTAATCCCAGTAGGGTGGTCCCATTTATCCGGGGGATGATCCCACTAATCCAGTTGGGTGATCCCATTAATCCAGTGGGGTGATCCCATTAGATCAGTGGGATGGTCCCATTAATCCAGCAGGGTGATCCAATTAATCTCAGTGGGGACATCCCACTAACCCAGAGGGACGGTCCCCATATCCAGATGGACCATCACCCCTATTTTGGGGTCTCATCCCCCAAATCCAGGAGTCTCAGGCCCCCATAAAACAGTGGGATCATCCCCCAAATCAGCGAGATCATCTCCTTTATCCAGTGGGATCATCCCCCTTATCCAGGGGATCTCATCCCCCAAAATCAATGGGATCATCCCCCCTTATCCAATGGGATTATCCCCCTTATTTTGGGGTCTCACTCCCCAATCCAATGGGATCATCCCCCCTTATCCAATAGGGTCACCACCCCTATTTTGGGGTCTCATCCCCCAAAACCAATAGGACCATCCCTCCTATCCAAGGGGCTCATCCCCCCTATTTCAGGGTCTCATCCCCCTTATCCAGGAGTCTCAGGCCCCCATAAAACAGTGGGATCACTCCCCTTAACCATTGGGATCTCCGCCCCTATTTTGGGGTCTCATCTTCCAAAACCAATAGGATCATCCTGCTTATCCAATGGGATCATCCCCAAAAACCAGTGGGATCATCCCCCCTATCTAAGGGGGTTCATCACCCCAAAACCAGTGGGATCATCCCCCCTTTTTTGGGGTCTCATTCCCCATATCCAGGGATCTCATCCCCCCAAAACCAGTGGGATCATCCCCCTTATCCAATAGGGTCACCACCCCTATTTTGGGGTCTCGTCCCCCCTATTTTGGGGTCTCATCCCCCAGCCCGGGCTGTCCCCACCCCAATGCCACCCCCAT